GGTCTAAACACACAAAGAAGATAACACCGAGTCTCACAGAAATTAAGTGCTGGGTTATAAAACAAGCAGGAGGGAGGGACGGCAATGTTATTTCCTCAAGGAAGAAAGCCATACCTTTGGGATAACAGGTGCCCTTGAGGGAAGGTCAGAGCAAAGCAGCTACAGTGTCAGGAAAGTGACTTTGCCTTTTAAGAAAATGCAATTTACTAAATGCAGACAGGGAAGGCAAGTTGGTATAAAGTCACTTTTTCTTAACTCCTTCAACCCCAAAAGGCAGTGCTCCCCCTCCTATCAGAGCACCAAGAGCAGAGGCCTTGGAAGGGACGGAGACGAGGGGCTCTACCCAAAGCATCGCCGCCAGCCCCTTCCCATGCCCAGCCCAGTGCTCGCCTCTCCCACAGAGGCAAAAGCTGTGCCCCACAGCCAGCGTGCAGGTCCCTGTCCACCCCTCCTTCAGGTCAAGCTGCTTGCAACATGCATATCACCTTCAAACCTCTTGTGAGCAACAAACAGGCATGATCTGCAGAGGGGAAAAGTCACCATTTCAGCAAGGAGAAAAAAAAACACCACAACCAAAAACACCACCACACATTACCTTGGCAGGTTTTATTTTCTTTTAAGAAAAGAGATAGGTGTTTGGAATATTTGCAGCAGTCCTCAGGGAGATGAATGAATGGGTTATCCAGGGATAAAGTGGAAAAGAGTGTATGATACAGACATTTATCACATGCACATCTATAAGCTATGTGTGGTACATAGGAGACAAATACCAATTAATTATGCTATTCTGTACACAAATGCAACATCTCATCTTTCCAGGCACATTCGATAAATAACTAATTTATATCCTTCTGCAATCCAAACAGTGTTCTCCCTGATGGAAGATTCTGGGAGAAATAATTCTAATTCCCGCACACGGAAACTGACAGGGTACTGGAAGCGCTGTCCCTGCACATCTGTGGTACCTGCCCACTGAACCCCTGCAGACCACAAGCAGCATTCACAGCCACTCTGTCCCCCACACAAAGCCACACAGAGAGAAATTTATGTGTGATTGTGTATATCTGACTTTGACAAAAGAAAAAATTAACTCTCAGAGGAACACTGACAAAACAAAAAATTAACTCTCAGAGGAACACCGCTGCTCTTCAGCTCTCGCTACCAACGCTACATCTTTTTGTACCCAGGCCTGACTCTAAAGTGCAAAACCAGAGCCACAATCCGGAGAACGGGCCCCTCCTTTTGAGGTCAGCAAATGAAAAATCAGGAGATATAGAAGCCTACATCTATGAAAAGTAAATACAATACATAAATTTGAGGATTTTTCCCCTGCAAATAATCTCACTCGTGTCATATACAGAAAAAAATTGTTCAGCTCAATGTAGGTCCCTTCTTTGTAATTGTAACTTGCCACATTTTCACGATTTCTTACTCTGTATTTACTATTCTGTTTTGCTGCTGTACAGAGTTTCCTCTATTGCAATCAGCGTGGGTGTCTAGAGTGTGAGCTGTTAGATTTCTGCTCCTCCCCTCACATCAACACTCTGGAGGTTATCATAAGCAGCTACAGTAAGGATCCTGGCTAGAGGTTTGCAAGATCTCACACAAAAGCATAAGAGTCCCTAGAAGGAAGAAATTTTTTTCCCCCTTTAATAGAAAGTTCAAGGAACACGTTCATATGATATAATAGGAATAAATAAAAAAAAAATTGTGCAAGTTATTTGTGGGTTTGAGAGCCCTAGGTAAGCAAGACACAACATAGTGAAGCATCCACTGAAACGCTGTTCTTTAAAATTTGGTTAGAGGAGAGTTCACTGGACTTGGAAAAAACAAAGAGTATGCATCAGGCAAAAGGGCTACTCCTAGCTAAAGAGAAGGAAAAAATATTCCTCACATTTTGGACATATCCTTTCCCTCAACATGTAAATAAACAGGAAAAAATAGATAATATTAAAGGAAAACAATCTGTATCTTATGTATTTTTATATATTGCTCTGTGTCAACCCATTATTGATCCTGCTTTGCAGATAGTCACCCAAAAAACATTAACTTTTCAAAAAATTGAGACAGCTCAGACAAAATTAGAGAGATGTATTTTCAGAAGAGGCCAAATCACAGCTTCTCATATCAAGCAGCCCCGTATCGCCTTCTAATTTGTTCCCTTCTCATGGATGCCTCACAAAGCATTTCCATTTTACACAAGGGCGCACCCAAAGTTCAGATAAAGAATCCTGCAATCGTTGTTCTTTATTTAGCAGGCACTAAACACACACCAACACAGGATAAAAATCTGTTGTTCTATAAGGAGCACTAAGGAGGAGCAATGCCTGCAGCTTATGTATTTTTGTGCGTATTTTATCTGCACAATACTGGCACACACGCATTCCTCAAAGAAGCTATGTAAATTTCATCAGGGCATCATCTCTAATCCCTCCAACATTTCATCTCTGCCTTCAGCAGCTAATGAGTTAAAGATGATAAATACCATTAACAAAGGAAAGAGGATCTTTCCTTTGTTTCCCAAAGAATGCGGAAGCCTGACTTCTAGTAATGTATTTTTATATTCAGCCAAGTTCTCTAAGTGGACAATTTCTCTTCTAGCTTTATTATTCTACCTTAAAAAAGTGTTTTGATTATCCAGAAGGCAATTATAGCATAAAAGTCACTAAAATTACTGTTCCCTATTACTGATTGTATCTGTGTATTCTCCCCTTACAGTAAAATAAGGGGAAAATATACACTAAGGACACCCAACACCACAAAATCTATACAGTCTTTCTTCATTTCACAGAGAAACTCTTACCAGGGCAAAGAAGAATGACATATAATCTCCACCATAATTAATCATTAAAGATTAAACCACCAACTATTACGCATCTGAGCTGCCATTTCAGATGTAGGATTTGCCACTGGTAATCCAAAAGGGGCCCAAAGAAGCGACTGATGCCACAAACAAACAAAAAAATGGTTTCAGGTTTGTTGGTTTTGTTTTAACAAACAATAAGTAAACTACAAAGCATCTAGCTCAGTCCCACAATTTCTCCTTACGCCCGTTAACGTTTGAGTCTTCAGTTAATTCTGAAGGGATTGTTTTATAGAGGCAAGAGCAAAGGGATCCCTAAGCACTAACAGCAGTCATAGCTCCACACACCAATTTCATAAAAGGGATGAATGATACAAACACTGCATAAATTCGTAACAGTTTACCAGACAGACTACAAGTTAAGAAAATATCAACAAAAAGCATCAACTCAAGCACATAATTAAAAATACATGGTATTTTATTGTTCTTTCAAACCTGTCAGTTATGAGCCTTACTGACCTCTTCTGTAACGAGAGGCAAATGTTCTGTATTATTCAGCAAACAAAATTCCCAGAAGTAACAGACAGCAAGTTCTCCCAAGAAAAATGGCTCTATTTTAACAAGTTATTTGCAAATGTACTCATTTTAAAGTTACACACATTTAATTACTTAATTTAGATGTATTGTAAAATCTGTGCGATTATATTTGAAGTCTCACAGATACCAGCATTACTCTGGAATGCTATCAGAAAGGTAAGAGCAACAATTAATACATTAAAAAAAATATAACTATCTGCAAGTATAGCCTGGATCTAATAAACAAGGAAATAATACAAAGTCTTTATATGAAAGTGCGGTTTGGCTGTTAAGTCTTTTTCTCCCCCCTCCAAGTTTTACTATACATTTCATCTTTTGGATTTGGACACTATTAGAGAAAGAAAACATTTGAGGCACAAATGTTATAAACATTTACACTTTTAAAATATCCCAGGTAGTCAAGCTAGGAACATGTCCATTTACACCCCAATTTAATACGGGTCTGGCAGCGATCACATCTTACCGTTTTAAGAGAAGTGCCTGGTACATCGGTGGGCATTCACAATGACAGGCGAGCTCATACACTGTGTCTCAGTATGCAGAATGGAGACACAGCGCAGTGCCCTCGCAGTACAGCAAGGGTTTTTAAGCACATAAGTCAGAGGCAAATTTAAGTTTTCAGTGAATTTGGGGAAGAGTAAGGTCCATCCACCCTATTCTGAAGGCTGCCTGCTGAAATCCCAGACTAGCTTACACCACACTTCAAAAAAAAAACCCAAACCCTGCTCACGCCCCTGTTTCCTTCTACCTGCTCTATCTCAATCTTTCCAAAAAGACAGATGGAACCCAATTCTCAGCTGAGGGTATTACTGTAGGATATACAGCAGAAATTATGCTTCCCTATACAATACAGTATTCCTTGTAGTGAGACTAATGGTCATCTGCGTACATAGCAATGGAAGAATAAAAGGGGTGGAGAAGTAACTGTTCTGTCTGTTCCTGTCCAAGGAGATACCTTACCTTTCTGCACATTGCTAAACTTTTAGCCGTAACACATAGCTGGTGTAACCAGCTGAAAATGATCCCGAGCTGATACCAGGATTTCCAGCCCCCCATCAGTGGCAAGCTAACAGAAGTGCATGCCGCTACATTTAACACATACAGAAAGACTAGATTGCAATACAAGTGCATACAAGGACAGACATTCATGTCTTGTATTTGACTGAAGGCAATCCTAAACCTGTGTGATGCTAATACATCTGATACGCTACTGATTATAAAGACTTCTTGCCATACACTATGACCACTAGTATTTTATCACTACTTTTGTAGATTAATCTGCAATTAAAGAAATAGCATTAAAAAAAGAAATATTTTAAGTCATTCTGGTATACCCCACCCTCTCCGAGTTAAACACAGACGGTTACAGAAAGAACATGGAGCACTATCTATTCAGAGGCAGCACCGTGAATATATTCAATTAAAGCTGGGAAGCGTAATCTTGAAAAAGGGGATACGGCAACTACATTCCTCACCAAGTGCTAGACCTCACCTCGAGCGAGGCACTAGACGCTCTTGCAAGCTGAAATATTTCTTCCTTCCCATGCAAAAATTAAAAAAAAAATAAAAATCAGTGGTTGCAAGGCGAGGAAACTCTTACCTTAATTTCTTCTGCAAAACAAACCAACCCCCAACAAAAGAGCCCAGCTCCGCCACCTGGAACAGCAAACGCATCCGAGAAGGCGACTGCTTGCGCCCCTTTTCCCCGGCAGCAGACACGCCAATGTGTGGACGCCCCCGTCCCCAGCGCAGCAGGCAGCTGTAGCCAGGAGACAGAGGTGCTTAAATTAGAAAACCGCTGCCAGAGGAAATAAACGGGAACCACAGCGACCCCCTCGACCCCAGCAGCTATCAAATCCGGGAAGATATAGTGCACATCTGTTTTACGAGGCCCCCGGGGAGCTCCAACTCCAGCTACTTACCCTGTCTGCATTATTAATAGATGTTAATGGCTCCATTATATTGAGAAGAGGCCTATTCCTCTTTATAATATGGAAATTCCAAGTTTGGAAAAAAAAAGGGAGGAGGTGTGCAAAAAACCCTTGCGCACCATGAGGCAGCAAACAGCTTCTCAGTCCCACTAACTGCGGAACTGCACCCCCCGCCCCACCCTGCCTTCCCCAGCCGTCCTCAACATACTGATTTGGTAGCCAAAATCGATTCCAGGCAGTAAGTAACTGCAATAAAGCAAACCGGCAGACAAAGACTTCCTGCCGTAAGGCAATTCCTGAATACGCGATTATTTTCTTAATAAGGTTCTGACAAATTTCAGCTAGAGCATATACCTACGTATCTTAATGCAAATGATGCAGTGTAAAGAACAGAATAAACCCACGCTGTCTGCACGTTTCTTGCCTATCTATATACATGGCTTTATTTCTCAGCAGAAGTTATCTGTCACCTCAAAAAGTGTTATTTAGACTGACTCGATGACACAGCATCCTCTGTCAAGCCTTTGATTTAGTTGATGAATAAAGGAATGTGATCCTAAAGTATCCCTAGGCTGTGTTTTTGTTAATGCATGGATTTCCTCCGGGTCCATTCATCCTCAAGGTAGGTGTACTGCAGTCATGCACCAAAGTGTCAAAAGACCTTCCGCAAAAGATATTGACCTATTTTAATCTGATCCATGTACAAATGCAATGGAGCTACCACTGGGAATAAAGTGAACCGAAGATGTATTTTTAACCCCTTTATAGCACCATATGCAGGAGGAACAAATCCACACCAACAACAAACCTATCCTCAAAGACTGCACAAGACTGTAGTTTGCTTTAACTGCATCCCTTCCGCTGATGGTAAGAGTCATGTGAAATGCTAGCACTTACTCAAAGAACCAAGCACATTGATTTTTGTGGTTTTGTATTGCTATCAGATAATTTTCACCAGCTTTAAAAAAAAGCAACTGAGAAATGTCGAAAGAGTAGGCTTCACCTAGTCAGCTTCCACTCCGCTATACAAGCTACCGATTTCAAATCGAATCTAAAACCACCGCAAGGTCTCAAACGGCACAGAAAAAAGCGCCGTCCTTCAGGATGGCAATACCCCGGCATTAATTGCGTGATGAAATTTTTGCATACGGAGGCGGGGGGGGGGGGCAGGGGGGGGCAGCGCGTGTCAAGAATCACCTTCTCGCGCTGCAGATGCAGGCTGCAGCTGTTTGCTGCCTTTCGACAAATGAATGAAAAGTGCCGCTAATTCTTCCAAGACAAATGTAACCGATTGGCTTTGTTGCTTGCTTGCCTCTGCGGCTTTTGAGACCATGCAAGTACGCCACAGACACGAAATCACAGGGTCTGGCTGTATTAACTGAATTACAGACAGCGCTGATGTGATCATCTTCATCTCTCTCGCACGCTCTCTAATTATTTATCCAGATCAAGCCTGACTGCTGGAAAATTAGCTCTCTACAGGAGGTAACCGAGCTGAAAGGTTCTTTTTACCAAGAAATGATGGGCTGGCCTCTAGCAGTACATATGCCAGCATGCAGTTCTAAGGAAATGTCACAAGATGTAAATTTGCAAGTAGATCTCTCTTCCTCCCAGAAAAAGAAATACAAGATTTTTAGAAGATAGGAAAATATATTTATACAGACACACAAAATAAGTAACTGTCCAAATTCCTGACCCTGAAACTTAAAAGAATGTACTTAAAATGGGAAGAGAGGAGATTATTTTGGTCATATCCTCTTTTCATTGCTTTATACATTCATTCCCGCTTGCTTTTCTACAAAGAAGTTCACATTATTTCACTTAGGCAAGGATTTCACTTCTTGCCAGAAACTGCAACGAGACCAAGTTTTAGTGCCGATTCTTGGGGGGAAGGAAAAAAAAAAAAGACACCAACATTTTAATCACTTAATCAAACCAACTTACAGCAGAATGAATAATGCATAAAAAAGAGGATAAGAGGATAACAGGTTTTTTTAAGCTCAAGATACTGCTTTAGCCTATAGCAATCTAAAAGCAACTGTGAATGTATTTTTATTTTCCATTTACTTAATTCTTTTTTAAAAAGTGTTTTTAAACCTGCCAGACAAACAAGGGTAGTTTAAAAGGAACAGCTTTGAAATTATTTTCCAATTAACAAGACTGTCAATGTGAGTCAATCTGCTGTACTGCATGCATATATGGATGTACACATTTTTAATACACGTTAACGCACACTTTGGTCCAATTCTAGTCACAAGTAATCCACTATCAATTTTAGTGGTAGAGAGCTTTAACGTACTATTTGAAACACTAAACACACAAAACATTGATATGAGAACAATGAACGAAACAAATACACTGCATTTGATACTGACGAGCTTTGGAACTTCATTGTTTAAAGAGGAAAAAAGACAACAAATAAAAGCAGCAGATTCTAGGCTGAATCTCTCTGCCTGCTGCATTTTCAGCAGTTCCAGCATGTCAAGCCTTCCGCGGTCTTTTAATTGCATTGGGTGTTCTGCATTCCAGGGATGGGTGAGAATAGTTGTCAGCCCACCTGACTGCAGAACAAAGAGCATTTTTTCTTCCAGCATTTGTTACTGATGCTTCAGCCACACCCTGTTGTCCTTACAGAACACGCTCTTTCTCGTATTTTCCTTTCTCCTACTCGCATAGCCAGCTGTTTTCTCCCCAGTCATAAAATATTAGCCATTCTCTAGAATTAGGAAGCTGGGTTTCACCTTTTATTGAATCCTCTGTGGATTTATTTTTAAGGGAGAGAGAGGGGCTGCAGGCGCAGCTGCGTTTCCCACAGCATAGGGAGTCCCCAGGCCAGGATGCCTCGGCACCCCACATCCCCCTGCTCCCGTTGGGATGCTGCCGGCAGGCGAGGGGCCTCACAGAGATATACAAAAGATACACAAATGCAAAAATGCGTCTGGCTCATCTTCCCACCAGCCCCAGGCACCTGCCTGTGGGGTCAAAACGCTCCGGGCAACACTAACCCCCAATGCCGATTTGCCAGATCACGCGCTCCCCATCTCATCCCCTCAAAGCCTCCAACAGCTCAGAGTTTGCAAGGTTAAAGTCCTCTCAGTCTGGGCGAGAGCCGTGGAAATGCTGTTCCCCCGCTGCTCTGCGCGAAGGCCCTTCTGCCTTTCATTTCTCGCCTACGCTCCCGTTAGCACTGCGGCTCACACACAGCGCCCGGCCCCTCAAACAGACACGAGAACAAAAACCCTTGTACGTTAGCGACAACACCCAGCAGCATACCGTGGTTTCTGCAGATTTTCATAAACAAGGCATATTCCTGACTTGATCTCTTTATAACATAAGCATGCAATGTAAAGCAAGATGCAGACAATGCGAAAACTGGTAGCTGCAAAGCAACCCTGCATCCCTTTTTCTGCCCGTCAGAAACATCTCCTGCATCACCTCAGTTTTCTATTCCCAAAAGTCTGGAGGCAATCAAACACCACAGCTTCTAACACTACCTTCACCAACTTTATCATGAGGTTGTAGCAACAACTCGGCTGCAGTTTTGGTAGCTCTGTAACAGCAGGTAAGCCCTAAGCATCCTCACAGCCAACAAGGCAGCCCTTTTCCTAAGGCATCGAAGTTACACCTTCTGAAGCGATGAAATTAGCAGGAACAGTGTTTTTCCCCCAAGCTTTGGGACAGGCGGAGTTAAGGAATGGCTTGACTTGGCCTGGATTATTTTCACAAGCAGGAGTAGAGGGCTTACTCGGTCTTTTCGGTTTCCCTGACAGAGCACACCCATCTAACATGCTTTCCCATCCAAGCCCAACAGGGCAACACAGCTTGGGAACCAGCAACGCTACAGCCTCTGTGAGGTTTGGCATAGGGTTTTTTTTTGTTTGTTTGTTTTAAAAAGAGCTTTTGTTCAGCTGTTCCTTGGTATTTGATACGTTATCATCCACCCGCCACGCACCACCGAAGGGAAGCTGCCGCGCTCCCAGGCTGTGGCTAGATTCTGCGTCAAACGGCACAAAGAAACTGTTGCCACTTCAACCTTCAAGATGCAGAAAAATAAAACCCCTTTAACTTTTGATCATATGATTCCCAAAAACCAGCAAAGCCAGCATTAAAAAAAAAATAAATCTGTATATCCCAGGACACACTAGACTACCAACTGCTGAATGTTCTCATTACTATTTTGAAGTGGGGTGTGGGTGGAGATACCTACTGCAGCTTTCTACCACTGCTGCTGCCATTGCTGTTCATCAGGGATGCGTTTTCAGAAATCCCTGCTCCTAAGGAGCCTGAACTTGCCTCTGTGCCTCTTCTGGAACGCACCGAAGACATGAGTTCTTGCACCCTGTTATTCACAGCGTTACTGCACAGGGATGCCAGCGCCCAGATCCGCAGCCAGCACAGCAGCAACCAGGGAAGAACAACAAGGTGAGCCGTGAGGGGAAGTCATCCAGACCGGGACCGCAACAGAGAAACACGTGGGCAGCGAATTACATGATGCTGATGTGACTAGGCAGGAGCTGACAGTCAACAGGAAAAAAAAACCCCAAACACACTTCCCACAAGACAGCAGATCAGTGGCTTTTCAGGCGCCTGGGCAAGCAGCGCAGTACGGCAGGAGGGACTCGCACCCCAACTCCGCAAGCTTGCTCCACCGCAAGTCGCCACACGTTTCAGCCAAGCTTTGCAAGGATTTAACGCACAAGGGACATGCAGGGCACAAAGTCAGCAGCTCCTCTCCTGCAACTGCTGGTAGCGACTGGAGGTCCTGCCTGTATCACTGGGGCAGTACCAGTACCGATGGCAGCAAAAGCGTTTGCGATGAGCTCGCCCA